ACATAGGAAGATAATGATCATTAATGGAAGTATATCTATTGAAAAGAAATGTCCTAATGATCAACAAACGTTTTATTCAGTACAAGAAGTCTTATCAGAATTTCAATCCAAGTAGAAAAAGAAGATAAAAACAAAAACATTGCATTCATTATTGAGAATCATAACTTAGAAAAAGTTTTTCGATGATAAAAGTCAATAGAGAATGAAACATATGTCGTTGATTCATTTCAATAGATCTTCTCGTACTAACAATAACAAAAACATACGCGTATATAAAGAAAGAAAAAAAACAAAATAGACAAGCATTCTTCAAAATAAGGACAATCAATACAAGAATTCGACTACTATATAACATTACAAATCTTTAGTCAATACAATACACATGTAGAACTTTTCTTACGATTAGAATGTTTTTCAAGTGATAAACGAGCAGCAAGAATAAATAATTCTTGTACCCCTTCACGAGTTTTAGCTGAACATTCCATATAAGCATTAGCTTTGATTTGTGTAGCTATTTGTCTACCAATATCAGTTGTTATTGGTTTTTCATCAGTTTGTTTTAAATTTGCAATCGTTTGAGAATCTGTTCTTAAATCTATTTTACATGCTACTAATATCACTGGACATGATCTACAATAATGTCGTACTTCTGGATTCCATTTTTGGATAATATTTCTAGCTGATATTGGATGATTAACACTAAAACATATCAATACAATATTTGTATCATTATATGAAAGTGGACGAAGAATATCATAATTCTCTTGACCGGCTGTATCAAAAAGAGCCAATGTAATCTATAAATAAAATTTCATAAATATATATATATTAAACTCATGAAAATCATATAATTATAATTTTCTAATTGATAATGAAATTTATCATATGAAGTTATATTTAAACAAAGAACATGACCTTACTTTTTTATCGTCTATTTGTATAGTTGTAGCATAAGTATCGAAAATAGTTGATGCTTGATTTGGATCAAATGTATCATAAACAAATGCATATAACAGACATGTTTTACCAGTCATTCCATCACCAACAACGACTAGCTTTCGATTTTTTTCTCTAATTATTTTTTTATTACTTGTCATCTAAAAATACAATAGACATTTTGTTTTTTTTTCGAGGAATTTATCATTTTTATATTGTGTAAATCAATGTTCAATGATTTATCCGTTTTAGTAAATGTTTAATATATTTATTACTATTCAAACTTACCATTTATTGTGCATATATATATATATATATATAACATGATGATACTGTTTTTAAGAATCCAATGTAGAAACTGTCATTCAAAAGAAGATATTTTTACAAAAAATTTTTCTTTTATGTTAAAATGTTTTTTTCTTCTATTTAGATTTTAATTTCTTTTATAGTCTATGGTGAGACTCCTTACCACTCCTACAAGAAGAATTGGAAGAGAATAAACAGTGATTTTATGCACAAGTAAAAAAAAAAAATCATGAGTTGTGCATCAACAGAAAAAACAAACTCATTTTGATGTTATTGCATTATTCTTTTTCTGCAAGAAATAAAGTATTGATCTTTTCCTATATTTTCATTTGTTTTCGAAGAAAAAAAAAACAAATTCACGAATCATTTACCATGATATATACCAATCGAATCTTTTATTCGAAGTTATCTAGAGTTGCATTGTTTACAATTAGCAGTTTTCTTATTTAAAATAAACACATTAGTATGACAAACTTTTATATAAAAGATCTTATGCCTGTTTAAAAATTGATAAAAATTAGAAAACATTTTCTATTATATTTAGTAGTGAAATAATAAGTAGTATCAACTAATAATAAAAAATTTTTATTTTTTAATGACATAGATATAAATAGAAAGTATTTGATTATCAACTTCACATGAAATCAAACGATACATAGAAATGTATTCATAGGATGTATTATCTTCTTGAATAGGATGTGTCAACATCCTTCGACTGTACCGAAAATAGAATTTATCATAGATGAGATTGTTAATCATATTATATGTATAAAAACTACAGAAAAAAATGGCTTTTTTGTTATTCAAAATACAATGAAACAATAAGTCAATTATTGAAGATCAGAATTAAGAGAAAAACAAATAATAGAATATAAATCACACATGTAATGGGTGGGTCATAAAAACAATTGCACTCTTAATATTTACAAAGTTTCTCTTCTATTATTTGCTTGATTGAGACGTCTTTTTGTATCAAAAGATAGCGTTTGAAATTCTGCACAAAATAGTATACCTCATTTAACGAATATAGTTTCGTCCAGGTTTTTGGATCTGACGTAATCGTATAGTAAAATTAAGCGTAGAATGAAAAAATATTTCAAGCGCTATCTTCTGATACAAAGAAAATGTTTCAATTGAATAAAGCATAGAGGTGAAATATTAAAAATACAAACAATCTAATTTATTCCGAACTACCCATTATACATGTGTTATTGCAAAGATATGATGATGTATTCAAGGATTACATGAATTTCGGTCCAGGTCAAAAGTCATGCAGAACTGCCGATCCGAGCTCGAATTTCTTCTCATTAACTTCCTTGAAAACTTGAAATCCTATAAAGTTGGTGCACTCCGTGGTGCTTAGCAAGATGGTATAGTGTCCAGCAGGACGACATAGTCCTGATCAGTCTGCTTTAATCCTATTAGAAGTAGTGTGGTCTTTTAAAATAATTATTACTTGTATGTAATAAGTGACAACGTAAAAAAATGGAGTGCTGTTAGTAAGACTACTAAGTGATGCTGCTCTGATCCACATTGAACTAATCAATGTTTCTTTATAAATGTTGCCAATTTTTCGACTTTTTATTACATGTGAATTCACTATTTTATTGAACTTTGCTTTCTTTTTCATAAAAAAAAATCCACAAAACATCAGATATAAGTTATAAGTCTAACGGTAAAACATTAAGAACAAGAGAAATGTCTATCTAAATAATAACAACATGATGTCAAATTTGTTTTGTTGCTTTAGCTAATATTGCTTTTCTTTGTTTTGTTGCATATGGCGTAGCTTTTAGCGGATGTGGGTGTAAATGAAGAGAAGACTCGTACCCATATTCATTCCATACTACATTTACAACCATATCGACGCCCACACTCTAATTATATCAAAAATTAATATGAAATTTTATAATGAAATTACAAAAAGAAAATGAAATCACAAGACTTTTCTGATATAGAACAATAGTTCATTTTTGAAATAAAATTTGTTATTTTTGTGATCACTAGATAAACCTTTCATTTCATATAAAACACATTATGTTATGAACGTTACATTTTAAATATCTTACGATAAATCACGAATATTTGTTAAAAAATCTGTTAAAAAAATAATAAAAGTCAAGTCATCATGTATCTCAAACCTTACTCCTATACAATATAAGACATAGATAAATTTAATAGAAAAGATAACTTATTGATATTGATCGATTTCTTGAAAAAAAAATAAAATTGAAAAGTATTAGCAGTCTTAGAATGTTAGTATTTCTATGTATATTCTCATAAAATACAATACTTGTAAATGTCGCTAACAATAAATTCAAATACATATTTATGGTAAAGTAGATATCGAAAGAATATAATATCTGATATTTCTAATGACAGTTGCAAAATAATAAAAAGATTTGGTGAAGATTTGATTATCAATGAAACAGCCAGAAGTCATTGAGATGCAATTTTCGATTCATTTCATTATTATTAAATCTAAAAGGTGTTAGCACAATTCCTGATGATCAACATGTGAAATATGATCGATCTGCATATATTGTAAAACAAAAGATTGTGCAACATATGTTTCGATTTGTGACTTACAACGTACTGATATGTTCGTGATAATAGATGTTATTTGTGATACGTTATAGTGAGTCGGAAAAGGGAATCAACGACAAGTATCTTAAATTCAATTTGTTTTCCTATTAATTTCATAGAAGACTTTAGTCTCATGGCTGATTCTTTCACAGACTACAATGGAGAAGAGTGTTGCTAAGGTGTCTGTGGAAAGGAAGTGAGATGCAAGTTTCTAATCCTATACTTCAACATATTTTTTAGATCATGCTGTACAAAAGCCAAAAGATTTTGATCTCTTTATTCTAAAACTTAGGTTAAGTAACTCTAGAAGATAATCGTAAGAGTTAAGTTTCGTCAGATGTTTAAATGAACCAAACACGGATAAGCAAAATCACACACACAACTGTTACTCCACATATGTATTTCAAAATCAACATTAAGTAATTACAATTCATTTTCATCCTGCAATACAGCTACAGTATTATTATTAGCAGTCAAATGATCAATCGTATAAGTACAATAATGATTTATAATTGATCCATCTCATTAATATTGCAGGCGTTCGAATTCTGTTTTAGATTGATTATAAATAATTTCATTTAATTATTGAATTCTTAAAAATTACTATCGACATATCTATATTAAAATCTATTTCATTTACTAAAATTGAAACATATCTATTTATAAAACCAAAAGGATTTTTGTTTTGAAAAATATTTTAAAAGTGATAGGATGATAGAGGATAAGCTTTTATTTTAAATTATTGTGTAGTATCATGTTTTCTTCATAGATGATGAATCTGATTATAAGATTCAAAAATATTTCAAGTAAATGATAAAATACTTAATATTTGGAACAATTATGTTTTACCCCTATATATAAAACAAACTATATTATGATAACAAGAAGAAAAAAAAGAAACATTATTGCCTTCTTACTATCACTTTAATCTTATTCACTATTGATATCAACTTTCAAACACAAATTCTTATGAGATTTAATCAGACATACTTTAGACTAATATAAAATTGCTTGATTAGATTATATATCAGATAACTGATAAATTTTCATATTTATGATTGTTATAGATTTAAAATGTAAAATGAATAAATAAATTGAAAATTGAAATTCGATATTATTCAAAAAAACTCAATAATACAATATGTTGAATACACAAAGATAAAATAGATTAATTAAATTACAAAACATTTATGATGTTTTTTATGATGATTACGTTTTTTTAATGATAAACGAGCTGCAAGAATAAATAAGTCATGTATTCCTTCACGAGTTTTTGCTGAACATTCCATATAACCATCAGCTTTAATCTGTGTTGCAAGCTGTTTTCCAGCTTCAATTGATACTAATTTTTGACCTTTTGTTTTCATTGATGCAACAACTTGAGAATCTGTTCTCAAATCTATTTTACAAGCTACCAATATTATTGGACATGTACCACAAAAATGTCGTACTTCAGGAATCCATTTTTCAGTAATACTTGCTGCAGATACTGGATTATCAACACTAAAACACATAATTATAACGTTCGTATCAGGATATGAAAGTGGACGTAGACGATCAAAATCTTCCTGACCAGCCGTATCGAATAAAGCTAAATCAACCTATAAATAAAAATTTTATTTTCTAGAACTAATTCATTTGAAATAATGAATGATATTTTGAAAAACAAAAAAAAAAATGTCATTTTATATTAGTACTTACAGTATTTCCATCGACTTCAATCTCAGCAACATATGTATCAAAAACAGTTGGTATATGATCCGTATTAAATTCATCATCTTTAAATGCAAATAAAAGACATGTTTTACCAGACATACCATCACCAACAACGACTAATTTTCGACTTTTTTGTATAGATGAATTTCGATTAGTCGCCATCTGAAAGTTAAAGATAAAAATAAAACGTTTTTTTTTTTTTTTTTGTTCAATAGTCTTTTATTTTATATTAAATATTCTTTTTGTATTAAGATAATTCAGAATATCATAATAATATGATCAAATGTATTGTATTTCTATCGAAAATAATGGCTCTTGTACGTAAAAAAAAATAAAAACAATAAATGATAGTAATGCAGAATACTTCAGAACAAAGGACACCCTGTTATTTTGTTTCTTACTTTTCATTATTTTTTACGTAAACACTTCTTCTTGTCTAAAGTGCAAGTAGTCACACAGAAAGAAAACAAATGACACACCAAATATGGTGAGATCATATGAGTGTGTGTGTGTGTGTGTTCTGTATCTTAGGTTAAAAGTTTTTTGATTATGATATTGTCTTACATCTCGACAGCGAATAGTATTTATCCTCCAGCTATGCTACACGACATGAAGTAAACATTATTTTTTCCTTCAATTTAATAATCATGTTTTGATACTGTATCAGAGAACTTCATTATCAAATAACTACAATCTTTATTCTTACTTATTTAATATAGGAAAATATGACTGTTTGTTGAATCATCTAGCTGCTTTATCGAATTCTATGCATGTTTCTGTATTTTATTCCTATGATCGTTTGAATCTATTTCTATAATCTATATAATTAACATGTTATAGATGAATATAATTGATCCGATACAATAACCAAACTATATCGATGCGAATGATAAATGACTGGTCTCCAATTGATAACATTTCAATCCAATTATTGAAGGATAATATATATTAGATCAGTAATTTGAAATTTTTTCAAAATTATTAATTTTGTAGTTGAGCTAATATTATTAATAATAGATATTATTGTTTAATATCATTAATTAAGGAAACTGTTCTAATATAAATTGACTCGTAAAATTTGAATATAATATTTTTATATGTTCTACAGTTGGTATTTATCACTGAAAACAGATACATGGACATGAAAAATAAAGCTTTTATAATAATATTTAACGATTATAGCGAGTGATATATACGCTGAATTATCGTTTATGAATTAAACTAATTATACGGTCTAATAAATTTTCATTTTACCTTTGTTACAAACAGGTGAAACAATTTTCTAATACGATCAATAATATTCTATCTATTATCTAAAAATCGATTTACCTCAAACGAATAATCCTATTATATAAGTGATGATCGAATAGTTACAATGATACTTACGTTAAAGCTATTTTTCTTATATTGACTAAAAGATAAAAATATAACGTCATTCCTATATATCACTATCACCCTTGCACGATTCATTCTTCATGCAAATACTCACAAACTAATTCCCACAAAAAACTTACACAGACGATAACGTAGAATATTTTATATATATATATATACTTCTATGATAAAAAAATATTTCATAGAAGCAATACATTCTCAAATTTTGTCATTGTTCTTATATTTTATCTTTAAATACAAAAAGAGATTAAAATACAGTGATTCATAAAAAAAATACAAAAAAGAAAGGAAAGGAAAGAAATCAGATAATACGAAGGATATAAGCATAAAATCAAAATCTGATTTGATTTAATGTATATTACACCCGCGACGTTTTTTATGTCGACGTTTAAGTGATAAATGAGCAGCATGTACAAATAATTCTTGTACACCTTCACGAGTTTTAGCTGAACATTCCATATAAGCATCAGCTTTGATTTGCATAGCTATCTGTCTACCAACATCTGTTGTTACTGGTCTTTCACCATCTTGTTTTAATTTTGCAATTGTTTGAGGATCTCTTCTTAAATCTTTTTTACATGCTACTAATATCACCGGGCATTGTCCACAAAAATGTCGTACTTCAGGAATCCATTTTTCAATGACACTTGTTGCTGATACAGGACTATCGGCACTAAAACATATTAATACAACACTCGTGTCAGGATATGAAAGTGGACGAAGACGATCAAAATCTTCTTGACCAGCTGTATCAAAGAGAGCTAAATCAATCTAAAAAAAAAAGAAAAGAATAATTACTCTTTCAATATGATACTATTCTAAATTCATACAGTTTTTCCATCGACTTGAATATCAGCAACATATGTATCGAAAATAGTAGCATCATGAGTTGGAATAAATCGATCATCTTTAAATGCAAGCAAAAGACATGTTTTACCACACATACCATCTCCAACAATAACTAATTTTCTACTTTTTCGTACATTTCTATTCCTATTACTTGCCATCTAGAATTGAATTAATGAACAATTCTTATCATAAAAATTACCTAAATTTTTTATATTCAGGTAAATGCAAAAGAAAAAAAAGTAAAATAAGAAAATGAAACATTTGTTCTTTGTTTTCTTATAGTTCCTATATTTATTTAATGTTATGGATGGTATCGTCGACAAACAAATATATTATATTCAAACCGAAAAAAAAAAAAAGAAACGTAAAGATGAAAAATCGAAGAAATATAATTGAATGTAAGGCGTTGAATAAGCATCATTTGTTTTTCAATACAAGAGATATAAAAAAGAAACGAAAAAGAAAACCGAGAAAGAACGAACAGCATGATTCGACTCGACTTTTTTTTTTCGTAGTTAATGCAGTTTGTTGTTTTGACTACAACTGCTCTAATAAAAACGACGGTTGTGATTCCGTTGGAAATCTTACATTACAGTATATACTAAACAAAAAAAATGTAATGTACATAATCGAATTCCTTCTCTCTTTCAATAATAATTTCTACGTTGTGAAATATTTTTTTTTTTGTTTTATCAGTGAACAAAGCGACCACTATTTCTTTTTTTGTCTGTTCGTTTCCTTCTAGGTATCGATGTGCATGTATGTAAATTAGTAAAGAGGACAAAACTATGGTAACAACATGTATATAGAAGAATGTGGATCAATATTTTTTTTTCGCTCTCTCTCTCTTTATGTATTTGACAGTTGTTGGTTTATTTAAGAAAAAAGAAAAACTTGAAATTGAATACAATAACTTGTACTTTGGCAAGAATAAATAAACTGACTCTTCTTGTTTAATTTAATCGAAATAAATACAAATATCCGATTTATTAATATGATTTTATCACCAATTGTCGAATCACCATCATCAAGTGATATTGAAAGACATCTAAATTCAAATGTAACAATTGAAACATCCACTACAGAATCTTCTAATGCAAATATCAATCATGTTAATATTCGATTTACTATTGCTTTAGCTGTACCTGTCGGTAAGTTTGATAAAAGACTAGATACCTACCATAAATATTCTGATCTATTTTTCTATCCAATGATAAACTATATCTTCTCTAATACTAATTTATGATATTAGTTCTCTATTAGCTTTATGTCTCGTCGTCCCTCAAGATGATCAAGGTTTTACATGTGTGCTATGTTTTTTTTTTAGATTTCACATTGCAATATGTGTTCTATTTAATTACACATTGATGTTCACTTTTTTGTTTTTTCTTACTTCTATTTTGTTTTTGCTTTTGTTAATTAAATATGTTTAATTGATATTTAGAATCACAATTATCAACTGAATCTCCTGCACCACAGAGTAGTACTTATAATAGTGGACGAGTATCTGAAACATCAAAAATTCAAGTAAATAAATTATTTTAAAAATTAATTTTGATTATTCTAAGTTTTATAAATAGAGTTATTATCGTATTGAGTATTCATTAATACCTGGTGAACCAAATATTGGTTTTGATATTATTGTATTTCGAACAGCTGCAAAAATCTATCCAGATAATCAGGATAGTCGAATTGTATTAACATGGGAAGATGAAAATGAAAATGTTTGGATAGTTTGGAATCAGATGTAAATATGGGTTTTTTTTTGGGGGTATTTCAAATCTAATTTAATTCTTCCTATCTTTCTTATTTCAAATAGTCATAAACTTGACTTAAGTCGTGAACGTTTATTAGCATTATTATCACATAAAATTCTAGTTAAAATATGGGATGGTAAAGAATATTGTACAGTACGTACGAAACTTGATAAACCTCGAGTTGGACGTGTATTGAATAGTTTAATATCAAGTAATAAAAACAAAAATATCTAAAGAAATCATTTCAATTTGATTTCTTTTTATTATAAAATATAGATACTGATGAAGAAAATTCACCGAAGAATATAGTACAAAGTATAGCACAAAATTATGCAGATAAATGGGTGGCAAGACCCATGTTATATAAATTACGTCGAAAATTACCAATCAATATTCCATCTCCATCACCATTTTTGCAAAAAAAAAGTTTGTTTATTTAATACAGAACTAAATTTTTCATTTTCTATTATTAAATTATAGTTGATCAAACAGAAAATGCTCGTATATCAACACCATTATTATCGAATGTATTACAAGAAAAACCCATTGAAAGTTTATCGTAAGTTATATTTTTTTTTTTATTAATTCATCTTTTGTTTGTCCTTTCGAATCATCAAAAACATATTTCAGGACGCTTTTTTTTTCTCTATTAGTGGTATGTACGTTTTATAATCGTCCTGTAGTCTTTCCTGTAGATTGTTAATTTCATAGGAATATATCATTTGTAGATTTATTTATTTATTTATTTATTTTGTAAATATTTATTTATTTTCGTTGAAAACTTGTTTTGACTTTTATATTTTCTTTTCTTTTCTTTCTTTCTTTCTTTTTTTTATTCGTATATTTAAGTGGAGAAAATAATGTATTAATTGATGATCCAATATCGAATTCAACTGAAAATCAATATTCCAGTCTTTTCAAATTAACTCCTGATGAAAATGAAAAAAAAGTAGAAGAGAATGTTAAACGAAAGAAAGGTTTATTTTTATTTTTGTGACTTTTAATAAAATATTTGAATTAATTTTAATAGGAACAAGAATACATAGACAATATGATGAAAAAAAAGAGAAAGGTGCTGCTCAAATAAATATACCAAGCAATTTAATCTTTGCAGGTATGAAGACATTTAAAGTTATTTAACCATATAAATTCGATGAAATCCTATTTTAAAAGAATTCTAAAGGTTTCAGATAGAAGTCTCGTCTGTTTATTTTATGTCAATAACACTTAAAAAGAGCTAGCATTATTTTTCTGATAATTCATATATATATTCGATTTCCTAATGAGTAATAATGATCATGTCATTATCACTTTTGCTTGATAGAAAAGGAAAATTAATATGAAAAGTAGGTATACACTGGTCTGACTAATGAAGGAACCTTTTCAAGTGTTTAATCGCTTTTCACTTGGGACTATTGCGATTTGATCGGTCATGGTGATTAGTAAGAAAAAAACTGTGTTTTGATTGGGTTTTTCGATATTTGCTTGTTGAGTTACAGATGTTTTACTCGACTTTTGTCCGATGAACATAGAATTACTAAGAATCTGGATAATCGAATTTCGTACTGAAATTTTGTCTGTAGATAGATCTTACAGTCGTTAAAAATGCCTCACAATTTAAATTAGAGCGGAGGTGTTGCTAAGATGTTTACATTTTAAAGAAACGCCTATTTTGATCTATGTTTCAAAAGAAAGACGTTTCCGTGATAAGCTGATATATCGATTCACATATGTTTAGCCTAGTTCAAGCTTGAGAGTATTTTTAGTGACTACAGAGCGTATCTATGGACGAAATTTCAGCTCAAAATGCGATTACCCAAGTTCTTAGTAATTCTATGGTTATAGGGGGCAAAAATCGACTAAAACGTCCAGAATTCAACAAGCGAAGATCGAAAAACCAAACAAAAACAGACTTTTTTACTACTCATCGCAGATCGCTCGAATGGCAATAGTCTCAGGTGAAAAGCAATTGGGCAACTAGGAACAATTCCGTCACAAATATCAGCTCCTCTGATTACTAGGTTAACAGTCATAGTACAAGAACACTGAATATGTACCCAGTCGACTATTCAGAATTGGGATTGGTGTGCATACCTAATGAGAAGAATTTGTCAGTACAAATAAAGTTGAAGACAGTATATTAATCGTCTTCCGCTGGATAGATATTCAATATAATGATCATATTCCGAACCAATTTATCAATAAATGCTATAGTTCGAATCCATATTAAAATTTCTTCATAATAAATAAAAGCATAACCTTATGATAATTATGTTACATTGTCATGCTATGCATAATATGATAATCTTTGAATTCTATCTAATTGAAGTACATGATCAAAGTTCAAAAACAAAAATAATTAGATTATTTTCAAAGATTTATTTTATTTTCAAATCAATGTAACCCATCAGTGGGTCGCATTGTTTTGAATAAGTTATTCTTCTATCGAATGAAATTTTCTTTTTAATTTTTAGGATTTAAAATAATTACATGTCGTCTTAGTGATGATTCAGTATTACCAAGAAGTATTTACGATTGTTTTGTTAACATCAAAATTGAAGATCATCAATTAATGAATGAAAAACTTGCAAATGAATTTAATCCACTTTCAATAACAATATGTCATGTAGAGAATATGCCATCAACGCCTATATCATATTCTGAATTACAACAAAGGTTTAATATCTTTGTTTTTTTTCTTTCCTAAAAGAAAAATTTTTATTCATATGTATTGTAAATAGATGTGAACCAGTTTATTGTTGTTATCAATTATTTGATCAACCAATTCATCAAACAAGTAAAAAATTGCAAGCACGTAATATTTATTGGAATGATTTGAATTTATATTTAATAAGTAAAATTAAACTTTTATTTATTAACGAAAATTTTTTTTTTTGTTTGTTTGTTTATTTTTTTTTCAAGATTTAATTAATGAAAATATAATGAGTTCATTTCGTAATTCTCCTATTCTTAATATTGAAATTCATGATCGAGATGAACGTGAAAATAGTCGACGATGTATTGGTAGCGTATTTGGTACAGAAAATACCGATGAAGTAATTGGAAGAGTTTCCGGTAATTATCAATAAAAATTTTTGTTTTAATTCTTTTTTTTTTTTTTTATATTTTTTATCAAATATTAGGTAAAACGAATTTACTTAAATCAAAAAAAAACTTGGAATGGCATCCACATGGATGTGTTAAATTAGATTTATCAGAACTTTGGCTTGGACAAACATCATTAGAATTTTATATTCCAGTTGTTCCATGTCATGCACCTGAATTTAATTCAGGTAGAATTTAGGTTTTCTTTTTTTCTTTCCTTGAAATATATTTAAATAAACAAATATATTTTAGGGCGTATAACAAATACAAAACGTACATTATCAAATGAAAATATG